TTGTTAGTATAAGTAGTACCAATTAATTCTTATAAGCTATTCCCAACTGTACCGTCCCATACCAGCACAATCTCTGGAATCCCTCTCTTTCAGGTGTTGATTCGATTCATTCATGTACCCCCGTCGCTGGAAGCCTGCTAGGAGCTGCTCCTTGTCCATGTCATTTCGCACCGGCGATCACTCCCCGCCCTCGTCAGCGCCGCCCGAGATGTTACAATTTGCGCAGTGCTTATCCAGATTTAAACATTGTGGACAAGGTTTTTGTTGAAGAGGGAGGGTATGTTACGAAGGAGAAAGAACAGGGGAAGAGGGTACCATCCTCAAGACTTAAAGACTTCTATTGTTGAAGGGAACAAAATTATGTGTCTTGTAGAAGGGTTAGTTAGAATATAATGGCATTGGGGATTGGTGGGTATAATAGGTGTCTTGTAAGCATAACACGTGTCTGTGGTGTATAACAGATGAGATACATGCAATATCATTCATATAAAGAGGAAACTACTAGTGTATGAGATTCATTGAGAAAAATATAATACAAATTCTTTTTCTAGTGCTCGTATTCGTTTCTCTCTTTCCTGCCACTCAGGGAGAGTGTAACACCCATACCCCAAAAGGGCGTGGGTTCGATTCGCTCTGGCCACTTTAAGGTTCATGTTGGTTGGTAAATTGTAAAGTGGGCTTTCTTTTTACTGTCTCTGGCCACTTTAAGGTTCATGTTGGTTGGTTTATATATATATATATATATATAACTTACATTAAATTTGTTAGATATGTGTGGTATCACTTTTCAATAAAAGTGTTGTATTGTGTTTTAGCCACCTTGTTTCATTTATATATTAAAAAATAGTACCACAAATACTTAAAAAAATATATCTTATTTTTTTTATATTTCATACTTGCCGTAATTTAATTATCATTTTTGAGTATGTACATTTCTACCTTTGACTCGGACGATTTATCATGGGTTTCTCCATAGATCGATGATTGGGCATGAAAAAGTGAAGGTTTTTTTTTGTACAAGTGAAGTTGAAGTTGAAGTAATCAAACTTAAAAGTGAAACCACTACATATGATTGTACGTCTATGACATTGTATTATGCGACATGATCAATTGAGAAGAAAACTAAACCAATCAGAAATATTGCAATAGTAAAATGAAATAATTTGTGTTGTAATTTTTTTTTTTTGGTAAATAATTTTGTGTTGTATTTAATAAATTTATAAACATTAATGGGACATCGATTAAGGATTAAGAATCAAGTATTAATATAATCATGTTTTTGTATACTACATACATATAGTTTCTTTGTTGTGCGACTAAGTCTTCGGTTAGTGTTGAGAGTAGAATAGGAGCCAATTATTAATATGCTATAACACAATAATTAATGCTACTGATATGGGGACAGATGAGTATCATATCATATATATCTCAGTTGCAAATGACGTCTGGCAACAATTTGGTCGGCATTGGTCCTCTGCTGGGATTGGCTAAGTGCTTCATTTGTGCAGACAGTTAAAATCTTGATGTGCCAAATTATTAAGGACCTACAGGACTCCTTAATAAAAGTGTAACAGGAGTATCATTTATGGAAAAAACTACTTTTATATTATTAGATGTGATAACTTTTTTTTTTACACACCCATTTCGATAATTATGTTATATTTTTTTTTTTTTTCAGGTGGTAGAATCCACAAATTTATCTCTATGACATGAGATAATTTATCTCTTTTAACTTGATATTAATAAAATCCATCATTTATTTAGTGGGATAAACTAATCAAAATTGGAGAGAAAAAATGTGATATATATATATATATATATATATATATATATATATATATAGGAGAGAGAAAAAAAAAGCTGAGCAATGCAGATCACTCCTCACTACTAAATAATATCTAACCATCCAATGTGTCACAAGTCACAACCATAAAAATAAAAATCTGATCATTCCGCTATACCGTGACAAAGACCGAGTCCCTGAGATAATTGAATGACCACATTGACAAATTAATGTTATCTTTCTTTTAAACGAGCATCCACATATGAAACACAAACAGCTACTTATATAGATACTTCCCTGTGTGTATGATCTTTTGATCTGAGTCCTTAATTTATATATCATTAATCTTAAATAATTATGTGATTCAAACTTTTATAAAAGAACTGGTATTTATGATTTTTTTTTTTTGGTATACTGGTATTTGTGATTTTACTAATTTACAATTTAACAATATTTTTCTTATGGGCACAAATTAAGATCCATTTACCTTTTTTTTTTGGAAATCTCTCTTAATTTTCTTTTGTTTGTTCTAAAAGCTCTACAATATACCAAATGATGGTAGCTCAGTTCGCGTCACGAAACTGAGTAGGTGGTGGATAGAGCATGCATTTGATTCTTCCCGGTATCGTATTTGGGAGGAGTTTAAAACCTTAATCCTGGGACCTACCCTGAATCGGACTAGTCGCGAAGCGATGAATTGATTGGAATATCTAAAAAAAAGTTCTATAATATCTTATTATTGGATTCAAGAAAATGGTATTTGATATAGGATCCGTCAACTAGATATTTCTATGAAAGAGAGATAACCACAATGGATGATACATAATTATATGCAAGTATGTTGGGGCATGAATCCAAGGTATGGTGTGTGTATTGGAAATTGGAGGCTAGGGTTCATAAGTGTCCTGAAATAGGTAATCTGATATATATGGGCAAGGGTTATTTGAGAGTGACAATTGATGGTCCTCAAAAGTTGAGGTCCATTGATGGTCGTGATGCTTCATAAATCCAAATTATTGATGTATAACTTACCCTTTTCTTCCAGTTTCTCTGCAAGGACTAGACATTTGTTATTTTGGGTTGGAGCAATTCATAATATGAGAATCAAGGCAGTATTCTTTCCTTTATGCTTTTAATGGATCAAATTGTCTCTGCAGGAACCTGGAAGCCCAGCAAAAGAGAGCCCACTAAATTGAAGGAGGAACTTGGAAGAAAAGTTAAAAGGCAACACCAGAAGGAGACAAGAAAGAGCGCTACAGTACAGGCGCAGAAAAAGTAGCCAATCGAGTGCCTCCATGTCAGCTTCAGCAGAGGATGTGGGAGTGCATCCTCACTGTGCAGATTTGTGCAAAAAGAATGAAAGGAATTAGGGGACCACAACAGCAATAGGGCTGATTTGGCAAGGAGCAACGCTGTGATTGGGGAGAATTTGAGGAAAGATAGGTCGTAGATTCATAAAGCGACTGAGATTGAAAGCAAAAGCCTCAAATAAAAGGAAAGGAGATTTGGACCGGGGGGTCATCTTCAACCCGATGTCTTAGACTTTTCAGAACGTTTTTTCTCATTTTTCTTTTGTAGCTGGAGTTATGCTCTCTATGAGTAATTCTCTTAAGTAGGTTAAGGGTGGGGTAGAAGTAACCCTCTTTGTCTTAGGATGAATTTGTAATGAAACCGTCTTTTCTTTAATGAATTATGAGATGTTCCTTGTTTTAATGTTCTCATTTCGCAATGCCCTTTGGTTTGCAAAGTCATCCTAGGACCACTTGGTCGATGAAACCCTCACAAAGTAGTGTGGAGAGAAATTAGAAGTCTTAGGATATTTTGCTCTGAGTCAGAAGAATATCCAGAAAAGGGAGCATTGTCATGTGTAAATAACTTTTGCTAGTGATCCCTTCAGCCAACCTCTTCTGAGAAGGCAAACATGATCTCCTTAAGTTTAAATTCAATAAACTTCAAGAGTGATCTGGAACAAAAGACCTTTGCTCTAGGTTACATTAGATAAACCGTAATGGAGAGACAAGAGCATAGTTTAGTTTGGAAAACGTGTAACGTTGCGGGTTCAACCAAGGGGGTGAAAATACTAAACCTGGAAACGTACTTTCTTACCTTATGTTTACCTTTCTTAAAGTTGTTGATATTTTGTAAACTAAAATCCAAGAAACACATAATTGCTCTAAGTATTTTTCGGTAACATTGACCTTTGCATCATTACTTTTAACTTGATGATCTTTACTGTTTAATGAGATTTTAGTGTTATTATCGTTCAATGAAGGTTAAGAATCACTACCAGCATTCAGCTACTTACATTTGTTCTTATTACTCTTCGTCTTGTTTATTTTTCAATTGTTTCCTTTTTAATGTAACATTTACATTTGTTTCCTGAGGACGATAATCTGGCGCTATTTGAAAACCCTATATTGCTTGACGCGTGCACTTGCGCATCTTGGGTAGAGTTGCTCCTCATTTGATTAATTGCTCATCGCGTGAAATTTACTTCTTGCAAGCTTTTGCTCCTGAAATATCCTAGAGCACCTGTCAACTCGACTAAGCAATTGGCGCCATTGCCGGGGATCATTTTAGCAAAAGTCAGCGTTTTAGAAGGAAACACTATTTATATTTTCTTATAATTTCATGTTATGAACCATTGCTGCCATTCTACTTCCATTTTATGAACACGAAACTTGACGAATTTGGACTTGAAACAATACTTTTTGATCCAGAACCCGAAAGGACTTTTAGAAACAGAAGAAGAGTTCAGAGACTAAGATATAATACAATGGCAGAGGGTTTGAATAACAGTGAAAATGGTAATAATAATAAGAATGGAGAAGGACAAATGGAGGAAGAGGGCCATACATAAATGATATGGCTGCTCCTTTCAGAAATGATCCAAACAGAGGTTACGTTCCTCCTCCTCTTAATGTTCCTAACTTTAAAATTAAACAAACAATGTTCTAAATGATTATAAATGTGGGTCAGTTTCATGGATTACCTATGGAGGACCCCCACAATCATTTAGAAAACTTCATAGAAATGGTTGACAATTTTAAAGTTCAGGAGATTCCAGAAGAGAACATGCGTATGAGCCTCTTTCCATTTTTCGTAGCAGGAAAAGCTAAAGAGTAGTTGAAAACCTTGCCCCCAAATTCAATCACGAATTGGGAGCAACTCACAGAGCAATTTGTAGCTCATTTTTTCCTCATGTGAAACAAGCCCAAATCAGAGCAGATATCGCATCTTTTCAGATGTTTGATGATGAAAGTTTACATGAAGCTAGGAGCGGTACAAGGAGTTGTTATGCAAATGCCCCAACCATAGAGTCTCATATTGGGGAATTATTCACACTTTTTACTATAGGTTGACACCACAATTGAAGGATAATGTCGATTCAGCTACAGGTGGAGATCTCTTAGATCTCACCTATGATGAAATCGTTCGCTTGTTGGAGAAACTGTCAAAAAAACATGTCCAATGGCCCTCAGAGCAATGGATTGCTCCTAATAAAGCAAGAGTGTTAGAATTGGATGAAGCTAATGCCCTCTCTGCACAGTTGGCAACACTTACCAATGCCATAAAAAATTGGAGACACAGGGAACAATCTAAATCATCCAACTCATCTGAACAGCTTTATTTGACCCAGTCTAGTCAAAATTGTTCTATCTATGGTGGACCCCATGAATCTGGTGAATGTGGTAATGATTTAGCTACTGAATGTTATGCAGGTGGCTATGGAAGCAACAATAGAGGCAACAAACAGTATCAGAGGCACAACAACAAAAGTTGGAAGAATCAGAACAATGCTGGAAGCAGTGGAGGGAACTATCAAAATAGAGCCCCATTTCCACGACAAAATAATCAAAACTAGGATAGAGGTGAAGGTAGGGTTCGGTCCCTAGAGACCATGTTCAAGGAATACATGAATCAAAACAATGCTGCCATAAGAAATATTGAGAAACAGGTTGGTCAACTAGCCAATGTTCTTGGTCAAAGACCACAAGGATCACTCCCTAGTGATATAAAAAAATCTTTCCAAGACACCAAGGAGCAATTCAATGCCATAAACTTGCGAGATGGGAAGATCCTTCTATCACCTGAGCCTTTGACATGTTCCCACATACACAAGCCACAAAAGAAACCTGAGGAAAGACATGAATCTGAAGTTCAGGAGGAGCAAATACCTCCAACCACAGAAGCTGAGGAGGATCTTGATAAGAACCACAAGGAAGAAAGCCAGACAGAACCAATAGATTCATCGTCACAACAAAAAGATGAATCTCGGAAGAGTGAAGATGAAGGAGCAATGCCTATTGCATTTACTCTTAAAAATGCATCAGAGGCACACAAAATGCTGATGAACCAAAAGTTGTACCGTCTTATGTTCCACCATGTAAAAGGAGGAGCGAGCCAATTGAACCTTATTTTCCACAAAGGTTGAAGAAACAACATGAAGATAAGCAATTTGGCAAGTTTTTGGACTTGCTGAAACAGCTCCACATAAATGTGCCATTGGTTGAAGCCTTGGAACAGATGCCTTCATACGCAAAATTTATGAAGGACGTGCTGTCAAAGAAAAAAAAATTGACGAGTTCGAAATTATGGCTCTTACTGAAGAGTCATGCAAATACTTCACAAAAACTCCACCTAAGTTGAAGGACCCAGGAGTGTTCACAATCCCATGTACCATCATTAGGAAGAACTACCTTGGGAGAACACTATGTGATCTAGGGTTGAGTGTGAATTTGATGCCAGCCTCGATCTTCAAACAACTTGATATCGGAGTAGCAAGACCTACTATAGTTACTCTGCAGCTTGCAGATCGATCCATAGCCAGACCAAAAGGCAAGATAGAAAATGTCCTCGTTCAAGTGGACAAATTCATCTTGCTAGCTGACTTCATTATCCTGAATTTTGAACCTGACCAAGAAGTTCCCATAATTCTTAGTATGCCATTCTTGGCTACTGATGATGCAGTGATAAGTGTCAGGAAAGAAGAACTCTCCATGAATGTCAGTGGAGAGGAGGTAAAATTTAATGCCATGAAGGAAATGAAGTTTGATGTGGACAATACTGAAGAATGCTCCAGAATCTCAACTCTTGATTGGATCATAGCTAAGGAGCAAAAGAAGGAACAAAAAGAGATTTTGCAAACGGAAATTGGGATGGAGGATTTGGAAGAATTGGAAGAGTATCTATCCTCTATGGACTGTGTACAACAAGAAAACAAGAGGGAGAAGGTCTTCAAATCTCTGAATCATTCAGAATAGGAGCCAAAGCCAAAGTTACCTTCACTGGAGCAGCCACCAATATTGGAGCTGAAACCCTTGCAAGAGCATTTGAAGTATATCTATTTGGGTAAGGAAAATACTCTTCCCGTAATTATCTCTTCTTTACTAACCAATGATCAAGAATTGCAGCTTACACAGAAGCTAAGGGAATATAAGGGAGCAATTGGCTAGACTATGGCTGATATCAAGGGAATCAGCCCCACAATTTGCATTGCTCTAGGATCCTGCTAGCTCATCTGTGGAGCATCAGAGGAGGTTGAACCCTAACATAAAGGAGGTGGTAAGAAAAGAAATCATCAAATGGATGGACACAGGTATAATCTATCCTATCTTTGATAGTAGGTGGGTTGCTTCTGTACAATGTGTCCCAAAGAAAGGTGGTATCATTGTAGTTGAAAATGACAAGCAAGAATTAGTGGCAACTAAGAAATAATTGGTTGGAGGATATGTCAAGATTATAGGAATCTAAATAGTGCTACCCATAAGGATCATTCCCCCATCCCTTTTATTGATCAAATGTTAGATCACTTGGCTGGTATGGAATTCTTTTGCTTTTTAGACGGTTATTCAGGTTACAACTAGATTGCGGTTGCTCATGAAGACCAACACAAAACCACTTTTACATGTCCATTTGGAACTTTTGCTTTTCGAAGGATGCCTTTTGGTTTATGTAATGCTCCTGCAACATTTCAAAGATGTATGTTTGCCTTGTTCTCTGACTTAGTTGGTGAAACAGTAGAAATTTTTATGGATGATTTTTTCATGATTGGTTGCTTATTTTGTAATTGTTTAAATAATCTTGAGCATGTACTGGAGAGATGCGTCAGTATGTGTTCCCTTTTCATGAGACCTCTCCTCTGCCATAAACCAGTCTACCACACCCAATCCACACTCCCATGATATAGTCACAACATCTGACCTAGATCCTTTCCCTCTCATAAATATCAACCCATACACTTACCATCAGATAACCACACAATTAATAATCAAATACCTACTCATCCTACAAATACCAATCAAACACCTACCCACTCCACTACTCCCATTGAATCCCAACCCCAGCCACATGACTTTCTGTCAACACAACGTCGTTCTTCAAGACTTCGAGCACCACCTAGCTACTTACAAGATTATCACTATAGTCTATCTGCATCTCAGCAAGCCAACTCATCTTTCGGTAACTCTTTAACTCCTTGCATCAAGCATTTTTTGTCTAACATGTTATCTTATGATATGCGTACCCCAGCTTACAAAAGATTTTGTCTCAAAATTTTCTCCCACAATGAGCCACGCACTTTTACTCAGGCTAACAAATCTGAGAACTGGACACAAGCCATGGATGCTGAATTATCAGCTTTGGCCCTCAATAACACCTGGATAATGGTTGATTTACCTCCTGCAAAATGCCCATTATATAAAAATGGGTGTATTGTGTAAGAACCTGCACCACTAAATTAGGAATCTAATTAATTAATTACGAAAATAATAAGATAATTTCATAATTGACCTTAATAATTATAAGAAGGCTTAAAAAACTATAATAAGTGTTTAATAATGCTGAAAGTCACTTTTCTAACGAAAAATGCAGATACCGGTTCTTCCTCATGGTATAAATGCGTACCGATGAAGTATCCCGGAAAATTATGAAAAGTGTGTATATGTCACTAGAATAATATATATGACTAGTGTGTCAAGTTTCAAGTTAAAATAATGAGAACTGGTGTTAGAACTGATACTGGCTAAGTAAAAGCGCGTACCGAAAAAGTGCTGCGAAAAATAAAATAAAAAGATGACAAATCTTAGAAAAATGACTAGGTCCAGAATCCTAAGTTTGGGATTAAAATGATAAGCGTAACTATTAGCACTAATACAGTGTGACTAAGCTTAATGTGTCTATAAATAAAGGGTAGCACAAAGACCTAGGTTAATTCCTAGTGTCTCCTACGTGAGTTGGCTGCTACCAGCTGATGTCCCTCTTCTCCTTCACCAAGCCATTGCCTTTTCTCCATTGAACTCCTCAAAACATCACCTTTATGATGGATTCTTCACCTCTAGCCTCGTTGACACTTGAGAACAACCTTGAGGGTGTGAGAAAGACCAGTTTCTGAGAGGGCAAGCTGCTGCTTATAGGGGTTTTAGTGCTGTGTTTCTGAGTTTTATTAAGGGAGTCATATTCTTGGCACTTTGGTGCTTCAAGAAGTCATTTTGATGGAGAAAGGTCCAACCTTGTAGTACATTTTCGTGCCATTGCAAAGTCAGAATCATAGTGCTGCGTAGAGGACTCCTAGTGTGTTCCATTTTCGGAGTTTTGAGCCTTGGAGGTATACCATGATCACCTATTTGTCATTTTCATGATTTGAGCTTGTTTAATCCTTTAAAAAGTGAAACTTTGATCATTTGAGTTAAGGACTGAGATTCTGAGTCTAAAATATGTTAATGAACATCTGTTTAGGAAGTTATTGGACTCCCAATCGCATTTGAACACTTAAAAATGGGATTATGCAGTGACAGCTCGAGTTTCGACATTCTGTCTGATGAGTATTCAAATACTTTTCGTGTAGTATTTGAATACTTATCAAGTGGTAATCGGATCTCCTTTTAGGAGTATTAGGATACTTTTTTGGAAAGAAAAGTACTCGGATACAAAGTATTCGGATATTGGGGGAAATGTATGAAGGTTCGAAAGACTGCACCATGGTCATACTATGGTGCGCATACATGGGTGGAAAATAAAAAAATTTCGCAGCGGAAGCATAGACCATCTATACACCCCATGTATGAATGCTTTACGTTGAAACGATAGGGTTTCAGAATTACCTTTTTCACTTGTAGGCGCAAAAGGATGACGCCCTCCAATGGTGATCCACACGGTTATCTCCTTCTTGCTAGCGAGAACTCTTTCTCCTTGATCCCTCCTTATCCTCGGTGGCTGGCTAGGTGCATGCAAGGAAGAGGCTACCAAGTGTTTGGATTATTTTTCTCAAGACTATAATGGTGTCTTGAGGTTAGGTGATGGTGCAACAAGAGAGAGAAGGA